TGTCAAGGAAATACTGAATCAAGACAGGAGACCTACTATGTGCCATTCACTTTCATAAATCTCACTAATTGTCTCAAAGAGGAGGAAATCATGACTCAGAGAAATCAAGTGACTTGTTCAAGGTGCAGAATTTGAACCCAGGTTCATTGGATTCCAAAACCCTGCCCAATACATGGTGATGCCTCCTTGTGCTGAAATAATGGGAAATTAGTCATAGTCTGGCTGGTGTGGCTCAATGGTTTAGTATTTACCCAGGAACCAAGAGGTCACTGGTTCGATTCCTGGTCAAGGCACATGCCTGGTTTGTGTGCTCGATCCCCAGTAGGTGTGTGCAGGAGCAGCCGATCTATAATGTTTCTCTCTCGCTCTCCCTCTCCCTTCTTCTCTCTTTAAAAATCATTTAAAACAAAACAAAACAAAACAAAAACATTAAAAAAAGAAAATGGGTGATATTCGGGATTGGATTAGGAAACTCATGGTATCTAGCTAACTGTTCTGAAAAACACCAAGTATACTTTATTTGAAGGGATTTACGGAGAGGAGTAATGCTGGCTAAGAGAAAGGAATTGCGGGAAGATACTCAGAGTTCTTCAGACTGTCTGTCTCATGGAAGGGGATTTTGTGCTGATGCATCTGGTCCTTGGCAATGGTGGTTTGGAGGAAGTGGCTCCTGAATTTATTTATTGCCAGTTATCTGTGATGGAAAATGGGAGAAGCCTAGCACACTATAGGGAAATGGGATTTCACAAAAAACAGTTTCTTTGTTTGTTTGTTTGTTTTTAATCCTTACTCGAGGACATGTTTCTGTTGATTGATTTTTAAAGAGAGAGGAAGGGGGCGAGAGAGAACCATCAATATGAGAGAGAAACATTAATTGGTTGCCTCCTGTATGTGACCTGACTGGGGATTGAACCCACAACCTAAATATGTGCCCTGACCGGGAATGGAATCCACAACCTTCTGGTGTATGGGAGGACACTTCAATCAACTGAGCCAGCCAGCCAGGCTCAAAACACAGTTTTCCTTTATTTGTGTTTTGTTGTTGTTGTTAATCCTCACCTGAGGACATTTTTCCATTCATTGATTTTTTATTTTGTTTTATTTTTTTAAGAGAGTGGAAGGGAGGGTGACAGGCAGAGAAAGAGAGAAACATCTACGTGAGACAGACACATTAATTGGTTACCTCCCTGGGATCAAGCCTGCAACCGAGGTAATGTGCCCTTGACCGGAATCAAACCTGTGACCCTTCAGTCTGCGGGCAGAACCTCTATCCACTGAGCCAACCCAACTAGGGCTGTTTTTTGAGTCCACATAGGATCCCCATATTTTAAAACTTTTTCCAAGGAAGGAGATTAAAAATAAACAAAAACTCCAAAACTATTATCATCTTCACATCATATAAGAAAGGAAACTTGAAAACCGGAATAACGTAAATGAAAAACAAATAAATAGGATAACAGGACAGCCCTTTCCAAGAAAGCACCATGTACTCATCCATTACAAAATTAGGTAAGATTTAAAATATTTAGAGACAAGAAGTACAACATATAATTTATTGGCGTGCTTGTCAATTTGGGAATTTTTATTTGTTAGTGCAATGTTAAGAAAAGCTAGACTCTCTGGCTTGTTTCATACTTTATTTTTTTAATCACCATTACTCTTGACAGTCCATTTCGACAGGTATGTGGATGAAAACAGTATCACCAATCTGTGTAATTTACTCAATGTGGGACATTGTGGTGAAGGGAGAAGAGGGGAGTAAGCACCCTTCTTCGGCTTGCATTTCTGTGACCAGGCCAAGAAGAAAGCAGGAGTAGCCGCTCTGGTGTCCCACTGATGAGGGCTCCGGGAAGAGGGCCCAGGGACCTGTCTGTGGCTGGGTCTTCTGCAGGTGGCGGCGAGGGATGCACAGGACCCACTCTGCCCAATAGGGAACAGGTAGAAATTTATTTGAGAGGGATGCTGTCGATGCCTGGACCAGTATTTAAGAGAACCATTCCTCCAAAGGAATTGTCCGGTTTGGTTCTCCAAGGTAATCTGAAGGCAAAGGCACAGACAAAGGCCCATTGTTTTGCGCAGGGCAGCTGTTTATTGCATTGGTGCTAAGGAGGGGTGTGGGAAGCCGGCAGGACTGTGCCTAGGTCAGGGGTGGGCAAACTTTTTGACTCGAGGGCCACAATGGGTTCTTAAACTGGACCGGAGGGCCGGAACAAAAGCATGGATGGAGTGTTTGTGTGAACTAATATAAATTCAAAGTAAACATCATTACATAAAAGGGTACGGTCTTTTTTTTTTTTAGTTTTATTCATTTCAATCGGGCCAGATCCGGCCTGCGGGCCGTAGTTTGCCCACGGCTGGCCTAGGTGCTCCGATTTGGGGGTGGTCCTGCTGCCTGGTTATTTTCTTCTGAGTCTCTTTTGTGGAATGTTGGGCAAACTGCGTTTTCCTCCGAGCCGCAAAATCTTAGCTTCACCTTCTACTTGGTCTCCGTGCTCTGGAGTTTTTGTGAAGGTTCTGAATGCCTGGGAACAGAAAAAAAAAAAAAAAAAAAAAAAAAAAAAAGCCTAAATGCAGCTTGAGAATTTCCCAGCTCTCCCAATCTGCCTCTCTTGTCTAAGGGAGCCTTCTGCGTTTCCAGAGCCATGCTGGGGGGAGTGTGTGTTTTGGCCTCTCTGGAGAAGGGCACATTAGCTTCCAGGGCCTGTTTACATTAGTTTGGTCCTTTCTGCTTTTGATTACAAATGAGGCCTTGAGTGGGGGACTTCCCTGCTTTCACGGAGGTCACTTCTTCCCTTTTCCTGCTTTCTCAACTTTCCTACCTGGGGAAGAGCTCCCCTCCCCTCCCCTCCCCTCCCCTCCCCTCCCCTCCCCTCCCCTCCCCTCACACTTTCCTTGGCTTAACTTCTTGTCTTCATAGACTTTGCCTTAGTGAGTGGGTCAGTTCACAATCAGGAAGCAGTTCATCTGTCCCCCAAGATTCCCTTTTGCTGAATTCTGTGACTGTTAGACCCTTTCTCATTTGCCGTCACTGCCTTAGTTGTCAGTGCTCTCCCCTAAGAAAAGGAAAAGTTGTCCACATGGACTGCTTATCAGTGCTGAGAAGCTCGATGTTGGTGCAGGGTTTCCTTGTTCTTCGGAATGTGTGTCTTGGCTGCTCAAGTAGAATGTAACCCCTTTGAGGGTAAGAGCACCAGGTCTCTTCTTTCCCTTTCCCCCAACTTCAGTAAGCCTGGCGTGGAGAGGAGAGCTGGGCCAGGCGGGGTGTGGGGAGTTACATCACCCTTGTTCAGTGTCAGCCTGCCCCAACCCTCTCTGAGGCTGACTTCACTGTATGCTCTCTAAGACTATGGCTTATTACACATACAAGAGGAAACCCTTTTGCCCCTAGGCCTGCCTCAAACCTCTTTGTTCTTGTTCATTTGAACAGTCATGATATCAGAGCCTTTGATACAATCAAGTGACCATGTCTGTTCTTTGAAGCCATTTCTTTCTTTAAAAAAAATATATGTTTTTTAAATTGATTTCAGAGAGGAAGGGAGAGGGAGAGAGAGACAGAAATATCAATGATGAGAGAGAATCATATATCAGCTGCCTCCTGCACGCCCCACACAGGGGATTGAGCCGCAACCCAGGCATGAGCCCTGACTGGGAATCAAACTGTGACCTCCTGGATCAGAGGTCGATGCTCAACCACTGAGCCATGCCGTCGAGCGCCATTTCTTTCCTAAAGGTCACTGGAAAGCTCAGGTGACGTTTACTTGATGGTAATAACTCTCCACTCTCTTCATAGCGCTCATACTCTTTGGAAGGTTTCTCTCTGGGATAATTCAGGTAGGGTTTTTTTAAACCAGTGGACCTAATTTTGTATAGTGACTTCTTCTGTTCCTCAGCTTTCCTCCAGCTGGCTGATCTCGGTGCTTTTCCAAGGGGAAGACCCTTGTTGGGGTCCCTGGAATTCCCTTCCAGTTCTACCAGTGATGTTCTGTGCCCGTGGTTCTCTGCCTCTACCCCACCGCCCCCTCCTTGGTTCCCAGGCATTCCCGTCGCACACTCACAGATTCCTGTCTACATCACTAGATAGTTGAACATTTTCTTCTGGCTTCTGTTTGGTCAGCTCTCAGATGGCAATCTGTTCGCATTCACACTTAGATCTAGAGTCCTCTTTTTAAGCCTCAACAATTAAGCCCTAGCTTGTCCTTACTTTAAGATTGTATTTTTCCTCTTTTGTCACCATCTGCTGGCCTTGGCAGTGGTCTTCTCTTCAGTTTCCCTGCCTCTCCCCTGCAGTCTTCCCCTCCAGCGTAGATCACAGATGAAATATTTACTTAGTCTCTGCCAAACATTCTGGCGGTGTTGTTTTGCTTAAAAAGACATGCAGATAAACTGTTTTGATTCTTGGCCTTGGTGTTCCAGGGCAGATGTTTCTCCTATAACAGAGGTATTGTGGTCAGTTGGAAAGAGTGCTGGACTAGACTTTGGAGAATTGGATTCTAATCCCTGCTGCACTACTAATTTGTGGTGTGATCTTGCGCAAGGCACATTTCTGTGTCTCAATTTCCTTTTGTCAAAAGGGACCTTATGATAAAGAAGATAGGAATCTAGGGATGTGAGATGGGAACCCAGGAAGTAAGCCTGGGGGGTGGAGGAGAGAGAAGATAGGCTCGAGGCAGAGAACCATTCCCATGAGTTTCATCAGTGAAATCAGAAGGCTACTCCGATCCCACTAGAGATCAAATTAATATATACAGTCACTTTGGAAAAGTATGAAATGTGATAACAGAATGGTGGACATTCTCTGACAGGGATAACCTCAGGAGATAACTGTGTCATCCTGTCGTCCGCCCCAGGGCTTGCTCTGAGTCCACACCTGTTAGCTGTCACCCTTGGGATGTGGGAGGCCCGGTCTTCCGTGGGTTCAGTTCCAGAACTCTGCCTCCCACCTCCCACCGCCTTCAGAAACCCAGAAATATTTGGAAACTTAGCCAAGATCTTCACCTGGCTTTGATTTCCCATCATGTGGAAAACTGTCCTTGGAAGTTGCAATTTCCAGAAACCGTAAATGTTTGCTAACATGTCCAACTTCTGCATTTGTTGATCACTCCTTCTGTGCATGGCTGTGTTCCAAGTCTTGTGCCCTGAAGGTGTTATAATTTGGTTCCAGTAAGGGAGGGGGGTATCTGCGGGATTCTCTCAGCAGGAACTAGGAAATAAAAGTAGACAAAAGGATTGAGAGATGCCCCCTTGGTGTTCATGACAGGCAGTTCCTTGAAGAAAAAGCAAAGTGGTTTAACGTCTGCCTCTGCAAACCAGAGCCCCCACATAATATACATGCTCATATAGGCAGAGCTGTATTTCTTCGTTATCCCTCCCTGTCCCCTCTGAAATGATTCTGGGATTTAATCAAATCTTGCCTAGTTTATACTTTGTCTTTCCAGATAAAGTTTTGCCTTGGTTTCTAACAGTGCAGCATGAGTTGGACAAAGATGGCCTCCAGAGTCTTTTGCTGCTCTGTAGTCTTTTTCAGGCATAATCAGCAGAAGTGTCTCTAAATGAATGCAGAGCGACCTTTTTCTGCGGGTTAGGGATAAGGACCTGAACTCGCTATTGATATGCTCAACCTTAGGAGGCTCTTGGGCTGCTGAAACTTGCTAGAGAAAGTCATGGAACTGAATAGGATAGTTCTGGGGAGAAGAGTTATGTAATCAACTCTGTATGTATACTTTCCACTGGGCCTTCTTTGCTATTCTGCAATACTTTCATTTGTCCCTAAATCCCTGTTACACAAACTACAATGCTCATTCCACATTTTTTGTACGCCATAAGCCTCAATTCCATCATGATTCTGTTTGGTAACATAGAATTCTGGGATGATTCCTTTTTTTTAATTTTTAAAAAATAGGTTTTTATTGATTTTTAGATAGAGAGGAAGGGAGAGGGATAGAGAGCTAGAAACATCGATGAGAGAGAAACGTCACTGATCAGCTGCCTCCTGCTAACCCCCTACTTGGGATCAAGCCCGCAACCTGGACATGTGCCCTGACCAGGAATTGAACTGGGGACCGCTTGGTTCATGGCTCAGTGCTCAACCACTGAGCCACACCCTCCAGGTTTTTTTTTTTTTTAATTTATTGATTTGAGAGAGAGAGATCGAGATTGATTTGTTGTTCCACTTATTTATATATTCATTGGTTGATTCTTGTATGTGCCCTGACTGGGGAGTGAACCCACAACTTCGGCGCATTAGGACAATGCTCCAACCAACTGAGCTACCCGGCCAGGGCCCTGGTTCCTTTCCGTTAGATAGCTAGGTATTCTCCAGTTCACCCAGCACCAAGAGAACGGGCAGTGAGCGTTTCCAGTAGGCTCTGTAGACCTGTTCATTGTGAATGCCAACATCATCTGCAAAATAATGGTTTGACTTGGGGCTTGATAAGAGCTGTGAGCTCAGGTCTGGCTATTGGCTATTTTCTCCATCCCATTTTGCTTTAAACCAAGTTTTCCCAGGCAGACAGCCCATTTGGTAGCTGTCAGGTGATGCCTAGTGTGTCCTCCCTGCCTCCAGTTCTGGGTATCACAAACTTGCTGGTTTCTGTCTCTTACATTCGTAGCTCATGCAGATCTCCCTCAGGCCGGTGTTCTTCAAATCTTACATCCTCTAACACCCTCTTCTTCCATCCGCTTTCTCTCCTACCTGCTTGGCTTAGTTATCTCAGGAAATACGCTTTCTGTCCTGTTCCCTCTGGGGTTGTGGAGTAAAAGCTAACCCTAATCATAGCGGATCAGCATGACACCAAGCATCCTTCAGAAAGGAATGTCGGACATTTGGGAATGAAGCGAGGCGGTGCGGAGAATCACTGCTATCAGTCCTGCCCTTGTGAGGACCTTTCGAAATCCCTAAACATGCCCATCTTTTAAGGAACCAGTTTTTTTTCCAGGGCTATAATTTTGAGATATGTAAAAACTATTTAATTTTATTCTTCTATGTTTTGTTTTACTGCTAGCATTTACACAGCTGTTTTTTGTTTTTGTATCATTATTATATGTAAACAGTATTTTAGCCATGCTGTTTAGTGATGAGCTTATCTGGGCATCCAACTAACATGTCTAGTATTATTTCTTTGGAAAAATGTTTTCAACTTATAAAAGTGACCGACTGATAAAGGAGAGTTTAATGAAAACACAGCCTTCACCCTCTGTCCTGTGCTGGCGATGTTGCTATGGAAGGGGCTGCCTCTGCTCCTGTCACATGGAGAGGAAGAGGAGTGCTTCCCAGGAAGGCCTGGGCTGGATCAGGAAAACTCTGTCCTTCCTTTTGTCTGAGTCTCTAGGTAGGTGGTAGTGGTGGAGGTGCTGGTGTGGGCCATGCCTGACTTGCCTAAGCTCTTTTCTTTATCCCCCACAACCCGCCCCCCCGCAGTGTGTATTTCTTTGGGGAAATACTTTAGCTTAAAGCCTGAAAAAGTTCTCCCACTTTGAAAATCATGATCTAATTATGCCCAGACCACATTCTTTAAACATATTGTTTTGTGGCGTTAATTGAATTATCTCCTCCTTTTTGGGAGTAGGAAATAATGCATTCTTGTTGTGATGCTGTATCAGTTCTCCAGTGGAAAGCTTCTCGTTGGAAGCCGTGTACATTTCCGGTGGGACAAGTTCATGAAAACGGAAGATGTCCCTGGGCTCTGTGTGCAAACTGCAGCATCTCCTTGTAGAATGAACAGTTCAGGAAAGTGGAACAATTGTTCTGGGTAAAATTCTAAGCTCTATTAGTTCCAGGTGACTGAGAATTTCCTGCTAAGTGGGACAGCTTGCCACATGTTTTTGCCTGGGGACAGTGTGTGTCATGTAGTTCCAAAGAAGTATGTCCATACCTGATCACCTCTTTCTTTGTCCTTCTTTCTGTGGTGCCCAGAGATGGTTTGAGCTCATCTTTGGCCTCATCTCTGAAAAACAAACAAACAAACAGAAAACAGCATGCATTTTCATCAAGGTTTGGGAATAAAATCTGTGGCCACAGGGCAGGGTAAAAACAGTGGTTCTTTTAAGTAGCAAACCTCTCACCTTCGCTTCATTGGTACCAGGCTGTGAGAAACTGAACAAACCAGCTACAGACGCGTCTTGTGCAATTTTGAGGTGAGGATGGGCAAAATCCCAGGAGCTGGGAGGCAGACATGTGGCTACCAGAGAGATGACATCAGCCAGTTTACTGGTGCTGCGGAGGGAGATTCCAGGTGCTCAGCCTCCTTCCTGCCCGTGGGGGTATCTGAAGCCACGCCCGGTCCTATTGGCAGCCAAGGCCTTTTCCCCTTTGCTTGGGAAAAGCCTACATATAATTCTTGCCTCCTGCTGTCCCCATAGGGACCTGACTTTGGAAAGGGTCTTGCAGCTTTGGCTGTGGGAACAGAGCTTGGAGGAGTGAACAGACATGTGTGTCTCTGTGTGAATTCTGTGTTAGTACTAACAACCGGTGAGGGTTTCCAGACTGGGAGTTGGATATGAGATGGAAGGGGAAGATTGGGCATCTGTCTTAGGAGTTGCCCTTTTCTTGGAAGGGAAGCAATTTATGATTTAACTCATTTTTTATTAAAATTATGTGAATATTTTCTTTTGATTCTCTTAACGTGGACACCTAGGAAACAGGAAGGTATTTCTGATAACCTCCTTTCTGTGTTCTGCTCCTTCCCCTGTGCTGATCTTGGACGAGAGCCTCACAAAGCGGTAATGGGTGACGAGCGGGAGAAAGTGCTTCTGCAGGAGGACCTCCCTCCTTCCTTGGCCTCGTGTCCGGGATCTGGAACTGTGGTGGGGCTTCTTGGGAAGCCGACTCATGGTGGGAATAGGGGGAGCTTTATAGCCTCTGAAGCGTGTCAGGGAGAATGGAGCTGGAGGTGGCAGAGCCTGTAGAGCCCATTGCTCACTAGCTCTGTTTTCCTGTCAGATGTTGGGCACCCACTCTGGTTCCACCCTCCTCACCCAAGACGCGTGGATGGGTGGTTGAGGGGTGGAATGAATCCTGTCCATGGAAAGCCACCAGCAGAAAGCTTATACTAAGCTGATACTTACTCGAAGAGGCTCAGACATCCCCATCCCAGGCCCACCTTGGGTTCCTTTGGGGCGTCAGTAGTTGAGGGTTTCTCTAAGCCTCCCTCCCATTCAGGGATAGCCACTGCTTACATGGAGCCATGCGGGCCAGCCCAGGCTTGTTCTACCGGGCATCTTCCAACCACTGTGCCTCTGAGCTGTCCAAGTCTTTCTTCTGAGAGCCTAGTTCCTCCCCGCCTGGGCCCAGGAAGCTGTGGTAAGCTCTTGGTTTCCTTTGCAGCTGGGCACTTCTGGGAAGCTGTCTGCATTCCTTTCTGCCCAGCTCTCTGCCTCTGGGGCCCTGGGGAGTGTGGTGGGGAGAGCGGTTGCTTCATGCCTCTGTGCCTAGGAACGCTAAGGCAGTTTTCCTGAGACCAGTAGAGCCACTGGAATAACCAGGAGTTTGAAGGTGGAATTTCCCTTTCTTGCAATTCTGGAATCGGGATAGCTTTTCATAGGGTGTGGTGTGGTACTGATTCTTCTTGGAATTTTCAGAGCCCCTTGCTGCTCTGAAAGGGAGGGAGGGAGGAAGAAGACTAGCACTCCCTTTCCTGAGATCTTTGTTTGGAGGTGGGTGCAGAAGATGCCTTTTGTGAGGAAGGAGCTTAGAGGCAGGTGAGAGGATCTATCTCCTGGCTGCCATCTAACTGGGTGTGCTACATGCTGAATGGTTTATGGTGGCATCCCCTGGCCCGTGAAGGCAGGAGCCGCCTCCTTTACCGAGTTTAAAATCTTCTAGAGGGCCTGTAAATTAAATGGCCCAAGGGAGCATTAGAAAGACTGAACATGCTGGGCACATGAGCCCAAGAGGGAGACTTTTGCTGTAGATACTACTCAAGGGTGTGTGTGTGTGTGTGTGTGTGTGTGTGTGTGTGTGTTTGTTTAGGCTGGGAGTGAACAGAACGGGATAGTAAGTCTAGGGAAAGGAGGAAGCTGGCTGTGGAGAGCATGGGAGCTGGGAATTTTTGCAGAGATGTTCCAGAGTGGCTGGCGGCCAGGAGTCCTGGGAGTGGGTGTGGGCATGCCAGGTGCCTGCCCTGCTGGGGGCCTTGGGTGATGGCCATGAATGCCTTCCTCTGGGAGCAGGGCTGGTCCCATGAATACCCTCCCCACCCTTGAACAATATGGGTTTGAACTGCACTGGTCCACTTATACATGGATTTTTTCCCCCCAAAATACTGTAAATGTATTTTCTCTTCCCTGTGATTTTCTTTAGCTTTATTTTCTCTAACTTTATTTTAAGAATACAGAATATAATACATATAACATACAAAATATGGGCTAATCAACTGTTTATGCATTGGTAAGGTGGTCAACAGTAGGCTATCCTATATAATAAAAGCCTAATATGCTAAGTGTCCGGTCATCCAGTCGTCGGTTCAGCCAATCAAAGCATAATATGCTAATGATATGCTAAGGCTGCTCAACTGCTTGCTATGATGTGCACTGACCACCAGGGGACAGATGCTCCTACTGGTAGGTTAGCTTACTGTTGGGGGCCGACCAATCAGGACTGAGCTAGATGGGCCAGACACGCCCTGGAGCCCTCCTGTGGTCCCTCCCTGGCTGGACAACCTCCTGCATCCCTCCCTAGCCCTGATTGTGCATTGGTGGGGTCCCTTGGCCTGGCCTGCACCCTCTTGCAATTCAGGACCCCTCGGGGGATGTCGGAGAGCCGGTTTCAGCCCGATCCCACAGGCCAGGCCGAGGGACCCCACTGGTGCACGAATTTGTGCACTGGGCCTCTAGTTAGTAGATAAGTTTTGGGGGAGTCAAAAGTTATATGCAGACTTATGACTGCTTGGGGCTTGGCATCCCCAACCCCTGCATTGTTCAAGGGTCACCTATATCTATGTGATTCTTGCCTGTCTGGTCCTGGCCTAGAGTGTTCTGGGGCAGAGGCACTGGGTCTGAGAGGGGCTGACTGTCAGGAGTCCCCACCTCCCAGTGTGCTGGCTCCCCGAGGAGGACAAGCATCTTGGCAGCTGCCAGTCCTCGCTGGTGTGGCTCGTAGGTGTGTGTGCCCTGCCTCTTTAGGGCTTGAGAACAGATGTGGCTTAATTTGAAGCAGACCTACCTCCAGGGCCCAGATCTGAAATGTATATTACAAAATTACTGCTAGTCTTGGCTCTTCCTCTGTGTCTTTCTTCCCTTTATCTTCCCATCACAGTCAAGGATTGTGAGCAGCCGCTGCTATCACACAGACTGATCAGGGCATTAAGAATGGAGCTAAATATAACTGTCTGCACACACTGCTCTGATGTGCTCAGGCGCATCCTTGGAGAAGCGGTTGATGTGAGTCTGTGATAGAGAGGCCTTTCCGCCCCAAACAAAGTGAGTGAGAACGGGGAGGAGAAGGTGGGAAGGCACTTCAGGAGTTACCGATTTCACCTCTTCTCTCCCCCTCCCCTGCCCCCCATCATTTCCTCTTAGTGGTCAAGGACAGGAGAGAGAACTGAGATCTGGCTCTTCAGCCATTAGGCAGTCAAACTCGTCCTTGCTGTATTTTTCATCTTAAGCAACATTGTGATTCAAATATTACATAAAACTTCTTTTCTGACTGAGATAATTTATAATCTATTGGGAGAGACAAAATGTGTTAAGTAATTAGAGAATATTGAAGATCTTAAAACCATTTGATCACTAACTGAATACGTTTGTAGTTCAGAAACAAAGTTGTATCTTGAAACTGTAGGAAACTTTTCTAGGAGGAGGCAGGATCTCTTCCGGTCTTGGAAAGTTAGGTGGCCTTTATATAAGCAGAGGTGGGGTGGACGTGTTCTAGATGCGGGAAACAGCAAGAACGCGGAGAGTGTGGCGCTCCCAGGCCACCGTGAGGCTCTGCCTTGGACGTGCTGGGCCCGCGGAGCAGAGCTGGAAGTTTGGACTCCAAGTTCTGCCTTGTGCATAGGAGATGGGAAGTGATGCAGCGGATGTGGAATTTGTGGAAATCACTCTTGTAGGAGAAAGTAGGATCATTTTGGAGAGGACAGAGGCTGGCAGGAAGGAGACCCGCTAGAGAATATGGACCGTCAGCAACAGGAATAGAGAGGAAGGGGGAGAACCCTAGAGAATATTCCAAAGTGGAATAGGTAGGACCTAGACGTGGGGTATGTTAAGGATGCAGCTGCGGGGAAAGACAGGGGATGCCAAAATTTCTGCCCGGTGAGAGTATGTTTATGAAGTGCTTTGCACTTTTCATTCAGTAACTATCTCAGAGTTGTCTGGGCTCTTAGAGTTCATCTAGTCTGGTTTCATTTTCCAGATGGAAAGATTAGAGCCAAGAAAGGGGAAGGTAATGCTCCCAATACACACAGCTATTTAGTGGTGGAAGTGGGACCTCCAGTCTTGGCCTTCTATCTCCTAGGGCAGGGGTGGGCAAACTTTTTGACTCGAGGGCCACAATGGGTTCTTAAACTGGACCGGAGGGCCGGAACAAAAGCATGGATGGAGTGTTTGTGTGAACTAATATAAATTCAAAGTAAACATCATTACATAAAAGGGTACGGTCTTTTTTTTTTTTTAGTTTTATTCATTTCAAACGGGCCGGATCCGGCCCGCGGGCCGTAGTTTGCCCACGGCTGGCCTAGGGGGAACTTTAAGAAAGAGTAGCCTGGCGGGAGGAGTGTGGGGTCCGACAAAAGTCCTGTCTGGCTGGGTGACATTAGGCGATGACCAATCCCTCTGAGTCAAATTAAGCTTTTTCAGAAGCATTCAGATCAGATCAGTGGTTTTACTACTAAGAATTTTTTTTTTTCTTTTAGAACCACTAGGCAAGGAAGATGGACTCCTTGGTTTCTTCTAGTTCTGAGATTCTTAAGAGTACAGAAAAGTAACGTACATGACAGGCATTGAGGTGGGTTTCCTGGGGGACTGTGGCTGGTTTCCAGTGTGGTGCCTCTCGGAGGGTATTTGAAGAGTAATTCGACTCCACGTGGTTTTCACTTATGTGCTGACCACAGAACCTGACTACTGAGGAGGACAGCTCTGCTGTCAGCAGGCTGTGGCCAGGACAGTCAGTAGTTGGGAACTCAGAATTCGCAGAGTTACACTATGGCTCTGCTTTTATCAGCTTCCTTTCCCCACCCCCTTTAACACACACACACACACACACACACACACACACACACCCC